TTTAACTGACAAACTGGGAAACAGAGAAAGATTGGGATCATTACTGATGCTCCCTAAAGGCATGCATCTCAGAATCAAGTAGAAGCAATTCCTCTCATTAAAAAACATTTAAAAATATTGCAAATGTCTGTATTTCTTTGCTAGTTCTATTATATTTACCCCGTGGTAAGGTTTTTTTTCTTCCATTCTCTCTGTGAAGTACTTTTTGTTTTTCCCAGTTATATAAAAGTGTTGAATTTATGTTAAAAATAAATTTAAAAAAAAAAAGTGGCTCTAAAGAATTACAGCAAAATCTCCCAGAACCAAGAGTCATCTCATTCTTCACTATGCAGCCCTAAGGTAAATGACAAATCAAACAGCAAGGACACAAACATGCTAACTGCAGGAAGGCATTTATCTGGTAGTGGAAATAAGGCAGTAGAGACTGTGAGAACAGCCTGCTCACTTTTGGTGAATAGCAGAAATATTAATCTGTTAGAGGTTAATACCCTATACGTTCTAATGGCAGCAATTAATTGTTAATTTTAATGCCAAATCATGGCATTTTTGGGAGTGACGACCTTAGTCACGTACACTATCGCCGTCACTAGTCACAAGACTCATGCTGAAATGATAATCCAAAGAAATCTGTGATGCTGTAGAGACTAAAACAAACACTCTCTGATATTAAACAAGATGGAAAGTACTTTCTGGAAATCTGGTTTCTCTGCTTCCTTTATCTTTAGCAGACTTTGCAGATAAACTCAACAAATCTCTTAGTATGTAATACCTGTCTTGCTAATGTGGCATAGTACTTCCTTAATGGGTAGAAACCTGGACAAATATCATTAAGATATATTTAAAATTAAACAGAAATATAAAATGAACTCTGAAGGAAATTAAGAGATTCTGTAAAGGTAAGGCTTACAGAGCATTCAATTTACAATATTCACATACCAGCTCCCTTTATTTATGTCACTACCACACTCTTCATGCTTTCTTTACTTTGACCCTTCCATAGTGTAACTATTGGCCATATACTGTTGAGGAAATGTCCTAACCTAGAGCAAGGATGAGGGAGAGCATAAACCAGTCTCTTAACAGAACCGTGCTGCAACTAATCTACTTTTTGATGAGTAATTTTTTAGACATATGCTCATTAGGCTGTTTTTTCTGCACAATCGGTCTGCCAGCTGCTTAGCCAGCCAGCAGGAATCAAGGAGGACATAGGCAGATATAAGAGGTCAGGTTTGCTGATCAGGAAAACTTGTGGGAACATTTGATTGGAAGTTTTGCAGAACTGTGTAGGTATGGCACTGAGGGACATGGTCATGGGCATGGTGGTGATGGTTTATGGTTGGACTAGAAGATCTTAGTGGTATTTTCCACCTTCAATGATTCTAAGACTGCTCCCATAAGTGACAATTAGTAGGGAGGCAATAACTTCACAGAGACTCTACTGCTCTTGTACAATGCTAAGTTGTGATGGATCTCTTTGCATTATATTTTTATTGTTTTCCAAAGTTTACGTGATCTAAGGCCTTCTGAACTGTCCAAATATAAGGAATGTATTTTGCTCCGCTTGTCTTTTTGATAACACAGTTGCTCCCCAATCTGAAACCCCTTGCACTTGTCTAGAACAAAACTGTTTCAACCGTAAATTTAGGCACAAATCTTGAGAATTCCATTAATTCATCATTTTGATTGTGATTCCTCATTTGGCCTGGGTTGTTTTTACAGAGTGATGTCACTACTGTGCTCATCTAATGCCCAGTCCAAATCCTGTTAGCCTTTGTGCTTTCTTTAATGGGTGATGAACTAGGTTTGTATTTAGTATAATGGAAAGTAACTATCTTATTTATCATACACAGGTATTTATTCGATAAAAAGTAATTTTCTCAGCTACATAATGTATTAGTATTTTGTTATTCTTCACTAAAATAAATAGTTCTAGTGTTGCTTCCATTTCCTGCACAACATATTATTTCCTTACAGAGTATGCATGCTTGATGATATATTTGTATCTGAACAGCAAATAACTGTTATCCAGATGGAAAATAGCCATGTTGTAATTAAAAAGTATGTCCTTCTTTTAACCTCACCAATTTACCATTCAATAAACCAGAAGATTTCTATTCTGACCCCCTATTTGAAGCTAATTTACAAAAATATGCTGTATATAATTAATACCCTTCTGGCATTCAGAATAGCAGACAAGAGTCAAAGAAAATTCTAAGCAAATGTGAAATACAGCAAAATAACTATTAATCCCAGTTACCAAGATTAATTTAGAATGACATAAAAGAAATTTCAAAAAAGTTTCTGCTGAGCTTAGACCTAGATAGTTTCATTGATCTAATTCAGATGTTATGTAGCTTCAAGTATTTCATCAAAGCTTTTTCTATTCTCATTAGATCTGCATCGGATCCTTTTCCTTCTTTAAGTGTTAAGCAAATAGAGATAAAACAATTACTAAGGACTGACTTTTAAAACATTGTGAAAAACAAGGGGTTATTTATCCAGCTGATAGTGCTGCTAGTTAATAACATCAGAGCAGCTGTTTGAAGAGATATCGTGAGTTTATCTAATCCAATACCCAAAACACTAAGTCTAGGGGAGAGTACAAAAGGAAACAGTCACATAACAGAGTCTCATGATCTCCCATGACCTCATCTCAGACACTTCCTAAGCCAGAAATAGTATTTCATGTTCTAAGTAGATTCTTCTGTAATTTGCCTACTCACTTTTCAAAATGATGAAAATTTTCAACATTCACACATTCTGCAGCGTGGTGTATCAAAGCTTTTCTAGGTACTGTGTAAAGAAATATTATTTAAGCACAAAATTGAATAAAGGTTCACTTTCAGAACAATATAGTACATGAGATGAGGGAGAGCAGCAGAACATAACCTTTAATTTCTCACTCTCTAAATTAAATACCATATAATACGTAATAAAATATTCTGGAAATTCTGAATAGATAATTGACATCTAGTTTTTATCATCACGTTTTCACTGAGTTAATAGTCTGGATATCTGTGTCACAAACAACTATGATACTTTAAAAAAAGAAATAAGATTCTTGGGATTCCATTTTGGGGTTTTGTTTGCTATGTAAGTAGTTCGAATGTCATCTTTGATGAAATAATATGGCACAAATGAAGCTTAATAATAAGCTTAATATTCAACTGACTGAAGTCATGGCATATTTGGCAGAACAAATTATTATTTATGCTAAATTTTAACATAGCTGACATTGTAATTTTTTTTTAATTTGAGATTTTCATTTTTTCATCTCTGATTTGTTTTTTATCTGTATATGTATGCTGTGTTACACCAGAAACAGAAGGCAGGGTGTACCTCTGATCATTATAGGTGATGTTTTTTAATTGTAAGAATAACACTAGTCTGTTATATGTCAGTATACGAGAACCCAAAGTGCAGGATATTTTTATGTTTTCCATGAATTTCCTTTAGTAAACAGAAATTTGTAGCTGTTGAGTGTATCTCATAACACCTTTTGATACAATACAAAGTGAATCATCTTTTCAGATTTCCAACATTTTTGTTGGATACTCAACTACAATGGGATTTGACTAAACTTGTAAGCAAGTATGTCCCTCTAATTTGCATCTTTAATCTACTGCCCCAATAAAATGTTCCATTATTTTTGCTTTATTCTTCATGTCATCTCCAGCCATTGACTCTTCACATCGCAGAGAAAACTTGGATTAAACAGATACTTGACGTAAAATGAAAAGGCTTTGCCCCTTCCAGGAAAGCAAGAAAGCCCCTTGACAGGACAAGGGGAAATTGTTTTAAATTGAAGGAGGGAAGATTTAGGTTGGACATCAGGGGGAAATTCTTTACCAAGAGAGTAGTTAGGTGCTGGAACAGGCTTCTCAGAGAGGCTATGGATGCCCCATCCCTGGAGGTGTTCAAGGCCAGATTGGACGGGCCCCTGGGAAACCCGGTCTAGTATTAGATATGGTGGTTGGCAGCCCTTGCCTGCAGGAAGGGGTTTGGAGCTTGATGATCCTCGAGGTCCCTTCCAACCCGAGCAATTCTATGATTCTATGATTCTATGATAGTGAAAGCAAGTAAAACAGAAATTACTGCTTGTGTGTCTGGGCCTGCAAAGGCAGCTCATCCTGCACTGCTGCATCTTCTCAGACTGTGGCAGACTGATACATACGGGTGGCAGAGCCTTTATGGCCTGAGAAACACCTGCCTTACAAAAGTTAAAAGGAAAAATCCAGATGGCAAGCCAGGCCTAAGCACTGGATTTCCTTCCATAGCACAGCTAATGGTATGGGGCATGGCTTCCTAAGCTTTTACCTCTCTCTCACTGTTCATGCAAACCATTAGTTCAGGTTTTAATTTTATTTAATCTGCTCTTTTCTGAGGAAACAAAAAGAAGTGGAAAGTTTAAGAGATATGGCAGTGAAGCGATGAGGCTTTTTGTTTAGTTGCACCCCACTTATTTTCAGATATTTCTTTCTGCTCCTTGGAGTGTCACTTATACATCTGAAGCGTACTGACCTTACTGCGGGAGGTGTGTTTGTCAGGGCTGACATAAGGTCTGATTTAGTTTGCCTTAGGTGTCACTTTGTCACTCCAACAAGTATTATCAATTTTTTTTTTCCGGTATTGGGCACTTCCAGATTTGAATAACCAACACTGAACTGGGCACCTTGCCTACCAGTGTCACTAACTTAGGTTACAGACATGGTCATTGTTTAGTGCAGGCAGCTCAGCCCACAAAGGACACGTAGAAGTCTGACAGAGGCAGTTGTATCAAGCATCAGCTCAATGAGGATTTTAAAACGTCTATGTTTCTTCAGTGTCCCAGTTAGGTGGCTGAGATGGATAGTATAAAGAAGAATATATAAAGTGTCAAACATTTTAATAGAGAATTAACTGAATGTTAAATGTTCTATCCATTTGCAAATGTCACAAATAAATGCATTAAATCCTGTTTTGTAGTCATAAAAGTATTAAAAGATTTTTGTTGCTTCTAGGCACTTCAGAGAAACCTCACGAACACAGTAAGTATAAAGTTGTTGAAGAATGCTGTTGCTTCAGGTTTTAAGAGAAAGATACTTTTTTACATCTTCAAAGTCTTGGCAGCACAAAATGGGATTCATCAGCAAACGCTCACAGGAAATTTTGACTTTTGAAACTGATGTTCAGTGACAGTCTCTGTAGCGCAGGATCAGGTATGTTTCACAAGCCCCAGCATGTGTGGAAACTCTACTCCGGTTCAGGTTTGGATAAGAACTAACTGTGCCTTCTGTTTCCATGAGGCACTGGCAGAAATCATGAGTGACATAGACCAGGAAGGGTCTGTGCGCTTCCTTGTCCAGGCTCTGATCCATAAAATGGAGGGATTTACCTCCTGCTGTGCTGCGCAGTTTAGACATAGCTGCTATAAATCAGAATGAAATATGTTTTTAGTATTTCCTCTGATATTCCTTTGCTTTCCTTTTTCTATTCCATACTATATTTTCTAATATCAATGTTTTTAAAAGCTGTAAAATTGCATTCAGCTTGTGTATTAATAAAATGTAATATTTATTTCTGTCACTGCTTCACATTGCATGTGGAATCCAGAAAAACTGATCCCAGGATGACAGAGGAATATGAAAAGCTAATTTTTGTTTATGCAGTATATTGAACTTTCTTTTCCATTTGGTGCAATACTGCTTCATTTCTAAAGTAAAAAAAAAAAAAAAAAATAAAAAAAAAAAAAAAAAAAAAAAGCTTCAATATTTTCTACATTAAACATCAAGGAGAAATGATGACAATTTTTTTTTGTATTATTTTGATTTTGAGAAAGATTTTTTAAATCTTTTCTCAAGATTAGCATTTATAAAAATCAAGTCTAATGTTAATACATAATACAAAATAACCTCCTAAAATTATAAAGAGAATCTTTTATTTTTAAAATGTAAAAATGAAAAACCTCTAAAGTAGGGGTTCTTCTTATTTGCAGAGCATGAACATTTTAAACATGAAAAATCAATCTCTCACACTAAGCCAGGTAAGTTTGGTAATTCAATTTCCAGTCACTCCATGCTCAGCTCAGTATGGACCACTGTGGTCTGCAAAACTTAGAGGCTTGAGTTACGTGCTTGTGAGATTTTGTTGTGTGACTGGGGCTTTGGTCCTCATTGTACTTTTTGAGGAGGAAGACAGAGACCTACAATCTGTCTGCTGTAAAGAAACAAGACTGACAGCATATCTCATCTATTGCTCTGCATGTATTAGCTCCATGTGATCTGGCTGAAGGCTGTATGGCCATTGCGTTGGTGTCTAATGAACAATTTTGGTAGTGCTGATGTTTAAATTTCACATAAAAAATGAGTCACGAATAAATAATCAAATAAACCCCTTAAAACCTTGTTCAATGGTGACCAAAAAGCCTTGTTTTTCATCTTTTTCTTTTCCTAATTTTTTTTTTTTTTTTTTGGGGGGGGGGATTATTTGTAAGATAACAATTTTTTTTCCTGTACTTTTACTTCTCTTTTGTTTTTATAATACGGTGTCCAAATTGCAAGTTAAATATTTCATGGACAGTTTGACAGTTTTCTACAAGACTTTAACAACTGATTTAGTTATACTGCTGTTTTTGAGTCAACAGGACAAAAAAAAGGAATGTTCCTCACTCCAGCCTTTAAAGGCACACACCAAGAAATGTTGCCTCCTTGTCCACCTTTCAGATATTAAGAGCTAGCAGATGTTTTAGCCAGCAGACAGGAGTGGGTGAGCTTGGCTGAGGCGGACATGCCCTGGTGAAAAAGTCACCTTGTCTGGCACTGCATGTGATGGCAGGGGTCTTAATGCCCATTTTTGTGTCACCCAGGCAAGCAGCACAACAGTTTCCCTACCCACCAAAATGGAACCAGCTCTATCTGCACAACTAGCTTTTTTTTGATCGAGATATTAGCACTTAACTGAATTTCCATTGTAAGGCACTTGCAAACATCAGAGCATCTTATCATAGCCTGTACATCTGACTGATGAGCTGTTTGCTCTGGTATAGTAAATTCCAGATTAAAGCCTTTGGAATTTGAAAATAATAATAATAATAATAAAAAAAAAAAACAAACAAACAAACAAACAAAAAGACTTTCTACATTTCCTTTATCGTAAAAAATTTCCAGTGATTAACAGTTCCTTTGGAGAGCATTGGCTCTTCTGAACTGCAGATGATGACTGCAAGTATTAATCTGCCAACACAGGTGGTAATAATGCTTCTGCCTGCCAATGAGAGCTCTTGAGTTTGCAGCTGAATTACAAAAGCCTCATTCTGTACAAAGCAGCGGCCTCCTTTTTCACCTTGATACAGAGCAGCTTCAAACTATTATTCTTATGTCTGCTGTCATCAGTTTTAGAAGTGTCACATGACCGAGTAACTAGAGAATCTCAGAAAATAGAGTGATTCTATAGGGAAATTAAAAAGTGTTTAGGGGATGTGCAGAAGCAGGTAAAGCGAGAGGATTCTTTCCTACTGTAAATCATCTAAAGCTACCTGAAATACACAGAAATATTTACAGCTTTGTATTTTTCCTATTTAAATTAGATGTCCCCCCCAAAAAATGAATATTAATGCTGGTAGTACTGCGCAGAAGTGCTGCAGAGAAAATTTAAAAAGTCTCTTGTATTTTAAATTTTTTTTTATAATTCTGAATATTTCACAAATGATAATATTTTGGAATTTTTGTATCTTTATGAAGTCATCAAATTTTTAATGTTACTGTTGGAGTCCTCATGATATAATAATAAAAGAATTAAATGAGGTATAAAATATCTATGATAAAAGGCTGAAGCATTTCTTCTATTTTGGTCAAACGTAGTTCTTTTCACTGCTTTTCTCCACATGGAAAGTTTAGTAAACTGATATGATTTTGTGAAAATTCTTGATTTCTTGAAGAGTGTTCCCTTGTAGAGACTGTAAATTCTTAAGTTTTGCTAATTTGCTCATTTGGTTTCCTTCTACTTATGACCGGTTGTTGGACACAGACAAAAAGCCATACAGTCACCATCTGGAGATCTGCCAGGAAAAGGGGAGATGCAGCCTTCATGGTGCTCTCCAGTGGAATCAGAAGATCAATAGTTGCTGTACAGTTAAGTTGCAGAGTAGATAGGTGAACAAATACCAAAGAATTACTGCATTTATCTCCAGATGAATGCACGTTATTAGGCCCATTCAGGACACACTATTTTCAGAAATGAGTTTGCTTTGAAAAGAAAGTCCTTCTCATACTTTTAGATGAATGAGACATGCCATCCACTCACAGATTTGGTTTGTAGATTCCTACAGTTATAGGGCAAGCATTGGTGTAAATTCTCATCAGAATTAGAAAAAGAAAGAATATCCAATCTAGTGTTAAAGAGAGCAGGGATAATGTCCAAATAAAGAGAAGCTACAAAGAAGCTACACACATTCTGAGTTTTACTTGTCATTAATCCAGTGAAGAGTAAAAGGTTTATGTATAAAGTCACCAATCTTTGGGTTGTTTTTCCATTTGTTTTGTTTATAAGTGTATAGAAAACTCAATATCCTAACCTCAATAAGTGAATATGTGAACTAATTAATATGTTAAAGGTCCTCAAAGAGCAGAAAGAGAATACCTGATCTCAGCAAGTTGCTGCTTGTGCTATAAAAACATTTCCACTTTCACAGGCAGCCATGAAACAGAGATGAGATTTTTAATTCACTGCATTCATAACAATAGCTGAGTAAGGGGAAAAAAAAAGCTCTAAACTTAATACGGGTGAACAGAAATTAAATCACCACCCACCAGATGACAACTGTAAAGCACAGCAGTGCAAAGCTTTTTCTTTATTTCCAAAGAATAGAAAAGATCAACCGAAATTGAGCTTTACTTTTCCCTGTATTTTCTCCCCTCAATACTTCCCTACAAAAAGCACAGACTGCAGAAATGAGACTGCTTCTCTGTCTGTTACCACATGATAAAATGGCAATAGCCCTGTTTATCCTGTTTGGCATGTGTATAGCTCTGGGAATCTCAGAGAGTTAAGTTAAAAATAAATGGATGCAGAGAAGCAGATGAACTTGCTCTCTACCCTCAGGAGGAAAAAACAAAGAAGTTATGTAAAAGTTACACTCTAAATTCCATTCTACATACTTAGAGTGCAGACTGGGGTCTAGTATCCACCTTATACATTTAGAGTCTACAGAAACTGCTCCCACAAAAAAGAAGTAGATCTTAATGTTGACCATAAGGGTGCACTGGTAGAGAGGTAACACGGCGATTCACAGGCAGTTCCTTTCCGCCTATCTCTGGTGCTTTCTCCCATGTTAAAGGACATTTGGCAGGTTGGAAACACTGCTCCTGCTCAAGAGTCAAGAAGTTTTGTGCATGCACAGACTATGTACAGACAGCAGTATTTCTAGTCAGCTAGTGCTCAGATTAGTTGTATGTCTTTAGGGGACAAGATAGCTCTATCCAAGCTGACCTGTTTCAGCTTGAATCTGATACCCAGCAGAGGTCTTGAGAGAAAGAGAAGGGCCAGAAGCTTGTGGCTGTAAATGCCTCCATCAGAGAGGAAGTGGAAATATATTCTGAATATGTCTAAAATAATGTCTTAAATAGTGTTGTGTGTGAATGTGGAAAAATAGGTGTTAAGAAAGACTTTTAAATTCAGATATGGGTAAAGTGAGAAAGTGGGAGCAGAGCTTTTAGAAGATCAGAAAGAGGAATGTTCAAGTCATTGGGTAGAGATCTGAAAACAAATGTTACAATTCTCACCTGACTTGCCTTATTCCTGAAGTTTCACCACCTGCTTGCCTGTAGGACATCTGCTCAGGTCTGGAGGCTGATGTTGACATGTGCCTGTGTCACCTGAGAGCCGTGCCGAGCGAGGCCACAGGCAGTTCAGAAGTCTGTGGGGTTGGGCAGCTTTTCTCATGAAACTAGCAGAAACTCAGGTCTTCTGTAAGGTTTCGTGACAGATATCCTGCTAGGTCTAAGTAAGCTAAGCCAGTATTATGTGAACTGTCATTCATATTCACACTGCCCTGGATGGATGTGCCTGTGTGAGTTAACATGTTCTTGAGGGTCTCCATACGTTTCCTGTGTTCAAATTGTAGATGTATAAGTCAATGTTTGTGCCTAGGCAACGTCTGAGTTTTCAGGGTCATATAGTATCTAACTGTTGAACTTAGGAATCAGGGCAAGGTCCACAAAGTTATATTAGTTGTATAATAGAAATACAGTTTCCATCTTAATGCCTACTTGAAAGACATTAACAGGTGTGTGGCTGTTATCTGGTGACAAGCATTAGTCCCACTAATTTATTTTTCCGTTGTGTATGATCTCACCACATAGCCAGAACTCACAATGCATGCATGCATGCTCTTTTACGATACTATTGTGAGATAGTGATGACAAAGGCATGCATTTATTTTGCCACTGTGAACCATAAATATAATATGTTTAGAAATGTTTTTCCAGTTATATGTACCTGTGCTAACACAGTATGAATTTCTAACTTTTATGCTGCTTTCACAATACAGAGGAGAAAATTAAACAACAAAAGACAGCTCCCACTGAGAAATCAGGTAGGAACAAGTCATTATTTCCTGTTTTAGGGGGGCTGTGAGTGTGGGGAGCATTAAACACTATTCATAATTCTTCCAATGTCATACACTTACATTACAGTCATTTTTTTATGATATTTTGAAATATGTGGCTGAAAATAGTTCTTTGTGCAAATCTAGCAGAATGGCAAATGCAAATGCAGTTCCAACAGTCTTTCCAATGACAATGCCAGGCTGAGGTGTTTCAGCTCTGTGCTGATTTTTCCTCCTGTGCCAGAGATGGGATAATGGAATGGAGTGGAGCTGTGAATCAGAACTCTCCCAAGTTTATCTCCAGTGCAAATCACTGATTTTTTATTATTATTATTTTTTCCCCAAGCTCAGAACCTTCCTGTGACTGAATTTACAGCACAGAGAACTGCACATGCAGGAAATGACGTAGGAGGATGAATCACCAGGTGGTTTAGGAACTTGAATGCATCTCAATCTGGCTTTCTCATGGAAAAACTGATTTTGGAAATAACTTATAGGTCTTACTTATAGGCCTTTGGGTCCTTGTAGATTTTGTGATAATAATGGTTCAAGCAACATTAACTTGTGTAGAAGCGCTGGAGTGTCACTCAAGCAATTAGAACATTCTCGTAATTTCTCACGGATTACACAATTTTTTTTTTTTTTTTTTGAAGATTTTAACTAGATATCGGCCTATATTTCTACTAGGAGCATTCTTTACTCCAAAATCAATGAAAAGTTGCCAAATCTCAGACAATTATGTAAAATCAACAGATGGTGTTGGTATGATGTGATGATTGTTGTAGTGATGATAATGAATTTTCTCAATAAAATAAAATGCCATTTTATTTTAAGCTGAATAGTGCAATTTGCTACCTCATTTCCATTCTCATTTGGTATGTAGTTTTCCTTCACTTCAGTAGCAGAATAGATTCTGTACTGAATAGTATTGTTCTGTCTCTAATTGTGAACGTTCACATAACCTGATGGTTATATTGCTTTCTGTAAGAACTCACATGTTAATCAATCATTTTAACATGAAGTGATATTTTGTAGCACTATATAACCAGGAAAGTTTTGATAGTTTTTATCTAACCATAAACTGCTGTAGCTTGTTCAAAACCATGAACAATGTTTCTGTTAATAGAGTTGGAGAAATGGCCTCAATATATTTCTAACCAGAATGTTTTACAAATTAGCAATAGGCAAACAAGTAGGTTGTGGCATTATTTCAACAAGAGCAGTTAGATAGAGGAACTTGCAAAGGTCTATGTATGTTAAAGACTATCTGCATTTTAGCGGCTTGAATGCTGTACATGTTTACCTTAGTGGGGAAAGCTAAGAAAAAATGAGAATCATGATATGATAAGAATATTTGAATATTAAAATGGCAAGGAAATCTTTTTTATATCTAAATGCTACAGTTCACCTTCTTTTGTCTTCTGTAGTCCAGGCAAAGCCAGCAAGTACGTGGTACCTACCTTGATCAGAAAAATTCCTGTAATATAGCTGGATATGTGTGAATACATGGAAACTTTCCCTTAATACTTCCTTGTTTTGCTTTAAATTATTGTGTATTTATCCACCTTCCTCTCCCCCCGCCTTCCCCTATGTCTTTGAGTATTTTCATTTAACATATTGTCTTGTCATTGCTCTTTCCTGGTCTAATAATACAGGTATTAATACAGTAGTGATAAGCTTTTTAAATTTCATTGTTAAGAATTAAATGCTTTTAATTAATGCTACTGATTAAGAAAAAAAATCACTGCATTGTTTTCCTACTCATATGAATACAGTATTTCTAATGCGACTAAATCTAGCAATTTTCTCCATCAAGAACTGAAAAGCCCATGCACTAACTTAGTATGCAGCCTGCATGTTAAATTTCTGTATCTTTCATACCTTCAGCATGCAAATATAAACTGCAAAAGTTAAAAAAAAAAAAAAATAGAATGATTGTGTTCCCATAAACCTCCACTCCTAGGAAAAGCCTAAACTTGAGAAAAATATCACTCTCTGTAGACATAATTTTTAATTCAAACCTCATAAAGCTTTAAATTCCTTATCTTGTCTAAATCTTAGCATTTCCTGGAATATATGTTCACCTCCAATCATACTTTCTAGGTGTTCAGTTATTCATCAAATGGCAGAAGTGATGAAACACATTGCTCTTTTTTTAGAGGCTACTCACATTTTAAACATTTGCACTTTATAACACTCATTGCATCCTACTTGTTGCTCAGAAAGAAACCTAGATACAAGGCCATCATAATAGTCCATTGATTCCTCAACTCTAAAATATACCACGGCCCCTATTTTTCATACATACAGCTTAGCTGCTACTATGCTACAAAATCTGGTTTGTTGGTATTGTTTTTTTTTTGTTTTGTTTTGTTTTTTTAATTCCTTTTAAATAGACATAGCTTTGATACAGATTACATAGTGCTAGACCCTTTTATCATCCTTTCTATTTCTAGCAATCTTACACCAAATCTCATTATTTTCTATAATAATCATGATATTAAAAAAAGGAGGAAAAAAGTGCGTGGCCTGCAAAGCACTGCTAGTTCTCTAATTTCCCACAGCAATATACAGTTTATTCATACAGAATGGGATGTCTTCAAAGCTTTGGGAATTCAATGGTATTATTTCTGACTCAGCATAAAGGTTGAGCGAAAGGTTTCTGGGTATGGTTTGTATTCTCCTTCCAAATAACAAGGTTGGAGAGTGGATATAAATTGCACTTCAGAAATTAAGGGGAATCCTTTTCTAAACTGACTTTTTCCTTAATATGTGTGCATAGCTCCCACTAAAATTAATTGCAGCCATTTATGTGAAGCCATGTGCAATACTACTGAAGTTCATAATTTTGTAGCAGATTCCTTAGAGGATAATCTGTTAGCAAGTAGTCATTTGGCTTCTTTCCAAAGTAACTGCATGTAGCAATAGAAAATTAACTGTTTTTCCTGAAAAGTATACATGCAGTCCTTCTTAATTAAAAAAAAAAAAAAAAAAAAAAAAAAAAAAAAAAAAAAAGACACAACATAACCTAGAAACATGACAATTTTGTTATGCTCTTTCTTTTGTCTAGAGCATGAAGCAGTCAGGCATGAAAAAGATGTTCCACATACAAAGCCAGGTAGGCACTCCTGCATTTTATGTGTTTATTACTTTTGAAACTGTTTTTTAAACAAATAGGAAAATATAATTGCATATGACAAATGTCAGAATGAACAAAATCATGGTCCTGTGAGGTATTTTGCAGCATAGAACATCTTTTACGTGTCATACCATAGCAAACCTAGCACAGTAATTATTTACAATGCCTTTTGTCATTTTCTGAAGATATATATATACATATCTCAAAGGTCTATTTTCTGTTTTGTAATTCCACTGGCATCAAAGAAGCTATGCTGATGAAGAATTTGAACCATTGTTTTAAGATGTTTATTTTAAATGGCTTCATTTTGGGAATTATTTGTTGGTATCTGCCTTTTATTTGGACTTTACAGCCTTCCTGCATGATTTAATTCCTCAGCAACATCAGCAATTTAGTTTTCCATACTAGTAATATGTTCAGATCATGTCAGTTCATGACCTGGCAACAGCCACGGTTCGTGGTAACTGTCCCTGCACATCATAATTCCTTTGCAACCTCTCCTGCATAAGATAGAGCAAAATTACTGCAATTATAGGAAGCTGCATAGTTCAGTTTTGAGGTGAAGCAGTCACCAAGGGTTTAACAAGTCCTCTCTACTCTTCTCAGTGTAAGGAAATAAGTGAAGAAACAAAGTTATTATTGATCATATTATTCATCCTTTATATAGCATAGTGACTACCACGTGCAGAGAAAAATATGCCTACTATTATTATCCATCATTAGTTTGTTTTTAATTACAGTACAATTACTAAATTTTTTCAATATTCAGTAAATACAAAGTACAAATAAAGCAGTTCTCCAGCATGGAAATGTTATGCTGCATCTCACTGTTCTGAACATTTTTCTTCTTTTTTATTCCCAGTCAAACTGAAAACAACTGCAAGTATGTGCCATGCCTTGGTTTCTATGCAATATAAACCTGTTTTTCAGATGCATGTTGTCTCAATTCACATTTTTGTAATTTTTTCTTTTTAGTTATTAGTATTTTCTTGTTTATACTAATTATATGCTTACATTGTCCTTAGTCTGCTTAGTAACATCTGAGTACATCAAAACACATTTGCAATAAAATGCTGTGAAGTGGCAGTATTCAAATTCTGAAATTTTTACTATTTATAACAGTAAAGGAAATTATGCTAGGTGCATAATTGATGTTCTGGTGATTTTAGATGAGTGTAGGTACATAATGTAACTTTATGTAAATTTATCTTTTTCTAAAATCACAATATAGTAACTGAATTAGAAAATCTTTACAGAACTTCTTTTGTGCTTTGGAGATGATTTATTTCATGAATATAATAAACATATTTTATTGGCCTTGTTCTAATACTTTTTTCACCTTAATAAAAAATAACTAAAATTAAATTGAAGAAAAGAGTATTCAAGGGAAATATTTTGCATAACAAAGATTCCACTGAGAACATTTGATAATGTCTTTGTAAGGTCATTAAGACTTCTGAATGTCTGAAGGCTGTAATCTATGCTTATTGTGGCTAGTAATTACATGTTACATATGTCAAATCATGATCAGACGACAATCAGAAGGGCAATGTTTACACTTCCCACTTTGAATTGTGAGTGTTGTAAAGTATGCACCTTCACTGTTCAATTAGTTGGAGTCTCCTTAGGATAGAATCTTGGATTTCTTTCTTGAATTTTGTCTGGCACATCAAGACCAAACCATGTGCTATTCTGATGTTAAGTAATCTATAAAGAGTACACAAATGTAAGACTAAGCCCCTTGTGGCACAGTCCTCTTCCTGTTTCAGAAGTTGACAATATGGCAAAGCAAGCTGGTTCTATTAAGATTCATAAATTAATCTCCTACATTAGATGCTGTAGGTTAGACAAGACAAATAACTGCTTTTATACAATGTAAAAAGACATAGTGCTGATCTGGATCACATCTCTAAGAGGAAATAGGGAACATGAAGCATCTGAAATGTGCCTCTGCAGAAGGATCTCCTGCAATCCTAAATACTAGTGTTAAGCATTTACGTCATCATTAAAAAGTTGTCATGTCCCATGAAGCTATGTGTATTGTCTTTTGGCAGTTGTTTTTACGTATTTTTTTCTTTTTGCCCATATTTTAGGTATTCTTTTCTTTGTTTAATTCTATTACTCAAATTTGTTCAGTTTTATGTCCAGTGGAACTATCTTCTGTACTAGTTTGTACAATAGACCTACTGATGATACTCTCTTCTGTTACAGAAGCATCAGAAATTAACTCATGCTTTCCACAGTAACAATCTTTTAACCAAAAATCACTGCCTATATGGCTATTATATCAAAAACTGTATCACCTGACATATTTGGAATATAATGAACAGCCAAGATATTTTCTCTTGACCTTTGCAGATATTTGTACTACAGTCTTGGAATTATATTCTGCTGCTTCAAATGATTATAAAGGTTAACAATGATTAAAGAAAGAAAGAAAGAAAGAAAGAAAGAAAGAAAGAAAGAAAGAAA